ATTATTGCGAATCTCGCAAAGTGGAAGAAAAAGAATTTTTTGAAAATATAAACCTCTTTACCTGCCCACAAGAGATTGTACGGCAATTACAGGACACCCTGTTATTATATATATTTGTTTTGCACGAACATCGAGCGTTTGGCTCTTAATGACCAATTTAATGTTAGAGTTTTAAATTTATGAATTATTGTACATACACTTAACAAATTTATATTCTATTAATTTAGTATAAGCTAATAATGTACAGTTAATTGAGATATTTCCTAAAGATTATAGTTTAAACTAAAATAGTAAAATTTCTTTTACCTTAAAAAAAAGATCATTATTACGTTATAGAGATATAATTTAAACCAATTAATAATTTATACTTTTTTGTATCCAAACGGTGTTTATTTTTATATCTATATTGTCTTATAAGACAATATTGTCTTATAAGACAAAGGAAAATATAAACTGCTTTAAGACTCAGCAACAAAATGATGAGAAGGAACTATCTCGAAATTGAACGAGATTAAGAGGGATAAGGAAACAGTACGTGACCCTCGGTCATCTCTTTATGCGTTAGTCAGCTTGAAGGAATAATCGGATTTGTCTAACAATGAAAGTAATCGAATTTAACACCATCTCCCAAAATGCGCACCCCAGATTTCTGACAAATAGATTTTTTCGACTTTTTGCAAAAAACAAGAACTACAGTTAATATAATTGTTAATAAAATGTAGTCGTTGTTAAGAATCATGTAATCTCACGATAAATAAAACGATCTGTCACAGTTTTGCTGAGAAAAATAATTAACTAGTTATTATATATTAGAGTTTAAAAATTTTACATATAATTTAAAAAATATTTTGGAAATTTATATTAGATACACATATTCTATGTAAGATTCTCTTATTCCTACAGATAAATATATAAAACTATCATAAATAAAATAATAATAAATTAAACGACGTATGTAAAAAAAGACACAAAATATTCAAGTGTTGTCTTTGATATTTCTTTTAATAGCATAATAGGATAAGTTAATAAACTTTTATTATTCCACTCCTTTATGCTTATGCGGTTTTAGATTTATACATAACATGTATTTATACTTAACATGTGTTATTTTTTTTGGCTTTTATACTATTCGTTATTATGTTACACAAAAATACGACAAAAATACTTCGTCAACAATACTAGAGGTAGACACATTCAGCTTATATTTAATATGTTTCTGACAACGCGAAATAAAACGTTCGATGGGCGTGATTAACTGACAGCACATGCTTCCGATAATTCAATGAGGCGAACAATGCCAGTCGCTCGTAGAACAGAGAGATGCGTAAATAAATGTACGAGATGTGGTTCTGAAGGGTGAATGCAAAAGAGTGGTTTTTTGTACGAGTGGGGGACCGAGGGCTCGCGCTCTGCAGATTCGCTGGGGTGTGAACGCAAATCAATTTGCGCAACGGACCTCCCGCCGCGAGGGACGTATTCGGTCGACAGGCGTTTCAGTACACCGCCTCAGGACAAGATAGCATGACTCCTTGTGTGATTGACATTTGTTAAAATCGTGCTAACAACACTTCAGTGACAGACAATCTCAAAAGCTCTTTGTATTATTACGCGTAAGTGACTATGCATATTTTACGAAGATGATAATGTGACAAGTAGAATGTCACATGTACGTATATAAAAGTATTGTGTAAAATATGCGTTATATGTATATAAAAGTATCGTTATTAATTTTACAGATCTGAACTATTTTAGTTTATCGTAATACAATAATATGTTGTAATGTAACACATATGTTATAAAATATAAGTACGTGATCAATTTCTGTAAATTAGCGACTGATATGCAATCATTTATATTATCAATTAATCATAAAATTATTAAAACATTTTTATACACGTACAATGTAGGACCATTTACAAAACATTCTTGTTATGTAAAATAATGTTCGCACCACTTTTGCGAAGACAAACGTCCGACCTCTAGACCTTTTATTTATTTAAGTAAGGCAACTTCTGTTGTAAAATAAAAGGTTGTTTATTCGTTATGTATAGCTATTTATTGTTTTCTTATTTTTTATTTTTATGTTGATATTAACAATATTTTTGCAACGTCTCAATTGTTATGTTTGTTTTTATAGCACTGAAGATATGAACATTCTTTTATATTCTTTTTATGTTTACAAAAGAAGGAAACATTACAGATATTTATTTTTTGAATCGATTGGATTTATATATATCATGTTTGTTAAAATTTGTAGCCTTCTTATCAAATATTTATTAATAGGAATGCCAAATCATATTTCATTTACGCGCATAATGTACATATATGCACCTACACTGAGAGAAAAATGCTTGGTATTTACGACTATAATTGCATAGTAAAATAATTATAGTTGGAATTCTTATTTTTATCGTTAATATTGCTATAATATTAGTAAAACTAACCTTATATACATGGTTTTGACAAGTATGTAAAAGTTTTGCTATAAATTATAATAATTTTAAATAGTAACATTAGTCAAATGTCAAATAACAGATGGTAAATAAAATACACATTTTTAAGTAATAATTACAATCACAATTATAGTAAATGTGACTATACTGTTGACATCAGCTTTACTATTTACTGGTAATAATAACTAAAAAATAAGTAAGAAAAGTAACTTAAGACATACATTTTTATGACTACATTAATAGTCTGGTTAACTATATTTTTAACTACGAATGTACTAAAGATATCGTAGATACTATAAAAAAAGTGGCCAGAAAAGTAATCATTTACATACAATGCATAGAATCATAGCAATAGTATATTTTAGTAACCACATTTATAAATAATAATTTACTATTTTCCTAAAAACAATAAAAATCATTAAAACTAAAACTATCAGTTTTATCACTAAAACTATTGGAACCATATGCATTATAGATCAAATTATATATAAAAAGTTTAATCTTACTATTATATAAGTACGACTTCTTATTATGGCATATAGTGTTTTTATCTTTCAATTATGGTCCTTTTTATCACATTTACAGTACAACTTACTATACATAAATCACAAGTTATAGTGTATGAAACCATGCATATGGTTGTATAAATGCATGTTAAAGCTATGGCAACAATAATATATTATTGAATCAACTATAAGTCGCATTGTTAAAATAACTATAAAATAACTATAAAAAAATAGTTGGCACCTTAAATCACTATAAATTATAGTAAAATTGTGGTAACTGCAACTATTTTTTGCTCTCAGTGTAAATTTATTTTTTAGTATTCATTATTTTATTTCTTATATATTTATTCATGTGAATAAAGTACCTATTTGCTGCTTATCAGAAATCACTGGCTGGAAAAATGCAACACGTTTACATTTTGCACTCTATATAATAGAACAGAAGGAAAGAAAATGTGGCTTTTGTTGTTCAAGTAGCGACATTTGCGTGGAAAGTTTAAGTGCGTATCCCGCGGGAGTCTGTGTGGCCGTTCTTATTTACGCATGTTGCACTTAATTGCATCTAACCGATCTGTGAGGATTTGCGTTAATCTGGCGATTGTGAACAACGCGCCGTAACGCATCTCTGTCGAGACGCATCTGTCGCATTTTGTTTTATTTTTATTTTTTTTTTTGTGGATAATTGAGTAGCTGTGAAAAAGTTTTTCTATCTTTATAACATCACATATTTATAGGACGAAAAAACGTTATTTTGTCTCGACAAATAATAAAGCAAAACATTATATGCTTTCAATATTCTTACAGTGCGCCTTATAGTAATAACAAATGAGAATATTTATATATAAACAAATTTTTTAACTTATATCTTTTTTAACTTTAAATTTATACAATAAAACAACTAGTTGAAACAACTAGTTTTTTTTATATCTAATGTGTAGGTGTATATGTGCATGATCTTTTACTTATATACATATATTTGTGTGTGTGTGTGTGTGTATGTGTATGTAATTACATAAAACTATGAAAAAGGCTATTTATAAGTTCGTATCATACGGGGTTAATATCGAGTTAAGCATCGAGTGGTACCATGTGGGCCAAGTCGAGTGGGATCATTCTAATACCAGGGCGCAATGCAATGCGGTATAATGTCGAATTCGCTAGGGGCCTATCGAAAGCTAACCTAAAGCTGCTGGTACGGCAGCAGGGTATCCGAGTATTTGAGCTATCGACAAAGCCAGTGATGCGATGTCCGTTCGAAGAACTATTACCATCCCTCGAGAACGGCCATCCATCTCCATCGAATCTCTCTCACACAAAAATCAGAATTGCTTGTTCCATTTCGCTTAATCTGCGTCATAGATAACTTAACGTAAGAGCGTACATAGTATAATCGATACGTAATTTATTAACTTTCCGAATTGTGCAACATTAATCCTCTTCGAAAAATGAACATACTTGGTAAACATGACTGAAATGTAAAGCGATCTCAAATCCGTTCGGTTGCTCTTCGTGAAAACTGATAAGCAATGCCGTCATTTTTTCTAAATTGTTTTATAAATTTAGATGTTTGATTGTTAACGAGTACATTGATAATCTATTTTGAAAAGTATTTGCTCATAATAAAAAAGATATTGTATCTGCGATTGCATATATTTTGCACATAAGATAAAATCTGTATATTGTTATAATCTCTGATATAATTGTGTTATTTATTGCAACTTTTATTTTAATGTAAGTTGTATTTGTTGCAATTATTATGGTTATAACTCATAATGCATCTAAAGTAAAATATTATATCAAGAAGTATTAAATATATTGGATAACAAAATATAATAATCTTTTCTTAATATTATAGGTATATACATATATATATACAAAAATTATATGTAAAAGAAATATAGGAAGCTTCAGTTATTACATAAAATAATATTTTTAAGAATTTTTACGATTATATGATATATATACATAATTTATTCTTATATTTTTGGTTTCTATAAATTAATGCAATACATTTTAGTTATAGAAGTGATTTGTAGCTCACCTATAAATCAGCTTTCGTCTAACGCTTCTCTTGAAGAAACCACTGCAACCGTTGCAAGCAAGTATTCCATAATGTTTGCCAGAACTAGTGTCACCACAGACTACACATATTAATCCAAGGCTACGCGGCGGCTTACTACTGTGTTGCGGTTGTTGCGATTGCTGTTGTTGTTGCTGTTGTTGCTGCTGCTGATGCTGCACTTGGCCCAGCAAATGTGAATGACCGTTGCCTAGGGCAGTCAGATACGGCGATCTAGCCAAAGGGAAGTCTGTAGGCATCCCTCTGCAAAGGGGTACTGGGCATTCCTGAACTGATCGTGACGCATAAGGATCGTGACTAGATGTGGATCCTGTTGCTCCTAGAGGACTATAACGCTCTGGTAAGCCTGGAGAAATAACACTACTTTCGCCAGAATCTGAAATATAAATTTATTTTGTAATTACTACGATGAAGTCTAAATAAATAATTAATACAGACGAGAACAAATAATATATAAATATAACAGAACATTTAAATATTTGCAAGTTTTATTGTTTAGTTAAAATTTGATAAATAAGACAAAATGTCTTGTACAAAAAGCATAGTTTCATCTAAGTATGATCTTTGGCTATAATAATATTAACATTTGAAGATGTTTTTCGGGTTTGAACCGCGTTAGTGTCATTTTTATACTGACGCTTCGTGAACATTTCAGCTCACTTCATCAGGGTTTCAAGAGCAGTCTGATATAGCATCTTCTATACTAACACGGATATACTAACGCAGTTCAAATTCGAAATACATCTTCAAATGTTAATACAACATATCGCGAAAGCATCAAATATCAAACTAATTTTTTTTACATTGATTACAATTATAAATTAAAACTTACAAATTAATGAGGATAGAAGTTTATATATGTTTAATTGAGATGCAAATCAAGTATTAGAGATATAAACTTTCAAATTAAATTTACTTTGAATTAAACATTTGTGTAAGTACAACTTGATTAATATTGATTGTTATTGCGACATACATACATAAAAGCTTGATTCTTACGGCCGTATTATTACCTATTTTTGTTTCAACTATTTGAGTTGCTCAAATGTGTACGGGTGTCAAGAAACTCAAGTATAATATAATATCAAGTATAGTATAATATAATAAATATAATATCAATATATTAAATATATAAATACATAGATATAAGCAAAATTAAATGTATACTCTCTTAAGTAGAATCACAGTGCATTGTACTGAAAATCAGTAAATATTTACTGATCTGAAGTCTTCCACTGTGTGAGTCAAATATTTACTGATTTTTAGTGCAATAAACTGATTCTACTTAAGAGAGTACGGGTGTCAAGAAACTCAAGTGTAATATAATATCAATACTTGAGTTTTTTGACTTCCGTATACATTTAGTTTTGATTATATCTATGTATTTACATTTTTGTCAATTTAATTTATACACGTGAGGCAATTGATAAGTATTCGAAACGACGCATAGATAGTGACAATAATATCACACTGCTGTTGTTATTGACAAGAAAAACAAATCGAACGACGGCTAATTATCATACATAGTTTGTGTGACAGCTCACTAAAGTGTAGCTATTTACAGCATTGTTAACTTTATTGTTGTATGGCACGGAAAACCGGAGATTCCAGGTTCGACTCCTGGAGGTGTTTTCCCGCAATATTTTAAAATTAGATAGGGAAATAAACGGGGATTTCTCATATATATGATGCAATTCGTAAATTCATATAGGATGCTATATGAATTTACGAATTGAAATTTCAATTCAAAACTCACGTGTAAAATTTACACGAAAAGACACATAAATATATATGTATAGATATATATTTATTCCGCAAACAAACATCTAGCGTAAGGCTTCTACTATTTAAATTTCGCGTTTAGTTTTTACTTTATTGTTGCTCGAAAATTTCTTTCTATTAAACCATTTTTTCAGGCTCACAAATAAGTAGAAATTGCACGAAACTATATCTGACAAATACGGGAATGAAATTACAAATACGCGAATAAAACAATTGAAAGCCCAACTTGTAAACTTTGGCTATTGCAACAGTTCTGAGCTGATGCAATAACTTTTTCACTATAATGTAATTTGCTACTATTGTGTTAATCTTTAGACTGCCGGCATGATGCCGTATGCCATCGCTATTGGGACGCTAATATTACCTCATTTTAGAGAAGAGTTCTCTTTCATCTGACTTGATTTATGAGAAAAAATATATAGACAATCTAACTATGTTGTTTAAAAGACTTAATTACTGTAAGCGTTTTTAACAATTATCCAAAAAAATTGTTTTTTCTAAATAAATGATTATAGTGTTTTAGTTATACTTGATGCATAATGATATATAAATTCACCAACTGTAATAAAAAACAAAAGCATAAAACAAAAATAGAAATTTATTGACTTTATAATTTCTCTATAAAAGACATATGAGCAATTCATTCGTTAAATCGATTAAATCCATAAAACAAAAAGTAGAGAAATTTGATAAAATAACATACATTCTTTTTTAAAATTTCCTTTAAAATTTAAATTCAAATAAATAATGTAGAATGTATTATTACAGGCATAACGACGTAATATAAAATACGTAAAATAGTATATCCTTGGAATAATTGTTTATTATTTTTACGTTTTCCGCGTGATTAAGGGAGTTAATCGATTTAGCAAGTAAAAATAAAAAAACAATTAATACTATTAAATTTACTTTCAAAAATAGATTTTATTACAGAAAAATTTCGTTATCATACATTGTTTATTAAAAAGTTTAAAAAAATTAACAATAAATGTTCCGTTACTATTGTAATTTTTTATTATTATTCTTTTCATTGTGTGTGTGTGTGCTGCAATTAAGTTTAAATATTGGTATTCAAAACTATTATCATAAATAAATAATATCGTTTTTGTCAGACATATTACTGCAATATACAGGCATGAACATTGCGGACGGCAAATAAAATGTACTGGTTGTAATCCGGCGACAGCATGATGCCGTAATGAATATTTCGGTGTTGCCATTGTGATTTAGCAACGTTAATTTTATCAAATAAATACGTATCATGATTACATATTATATGATTACAGTATATAACAACCCAAGAAAAACTGGAAAACGTGTGATTATGTGGAATTATATATAAGTCGAGTATGATTTTATATGATCATATAAGATTTTATATAAGTCGGATGTGATTTCATGTGATCGTGTAAAATCAAATCTGAAATGTGATGCGATCTGCGTGTGTGTGTGTGTGATTTTATATGATCATATATAAATATAGAAATTCGTGTTTGATCATATAAAATCAGATCTGAAATTTGGCGCAATCTGATCACTTGTATATAATCTTATATGATTATATGTTTCTATTTTTTCTCGGGTAATAACATGAATAAACATACTTATGAAAACAATAATTAGCAAGACCAAAACAGTTATAAATTTTTGAAATTTCACTTTTTTATGACGGGATAACGGTAAACAGTTTGCTGTTATTGTCTACTATATACTGGTGTATTAATAAAAAATTACTTAACTAAATCCGTATAATAGGCGCTTGAATTGCTTTATTGCAACGATTTATATAAGAGTATGGAATGTTATACTCATTGGCTTCTGAACCAAAGTGTTTATTATTCCACGGCTAAAAACAAATTGTATCGTTTTGTAGTGTTAAACTCAAAGAAATGTTTTTAAATATAAAATGTTAAACATATTAATCAAGTGTTTTGACACTAAAATTTCAAAAATTAAAAAAAAATGGAGTTAATCGCTTCGGCTTGTAAACGGCTCAGTAATTTGACAATTAGTCTTAACTATAAATAAGTTGACAAATTTGTACGATCGTATTTAGCACTATATATATATATATATAAATAACGTTTTTGTATAAAGATATATAAGATTAATATTTTTCTCTTAAAGCTAAAGGACTATTATACAATGTATTCAATATTATACACAGTGTCTGAAATATTTTGACACAATCAAAATGTGAAAGTAGATTGGGTCAATTTAAACAGAAAAGTCCAGTACCATTTTGCAAAATTTGCAATAGTTATTGAGTGATTAATTAATACATGTAACCTAATAAGCGCATAGAAAGCGCATAGAAAGATCTGGACTCTGTATGACGTGTATGATTTTCAGTTGTAAAGAAAAATGGCACCTCATGCAATCTTCTGAGAGATAAAAAGATCAAGAGGCGAAACAAACAAGCAACTAACGAGTGACGCTTCTTGCAATCAGCTAATTTTCACAACTGAAAGTCTACAAAGTCCGGACCATTGCTTTCTACTCGCTCATTGAATCACATGTATTAATTAATCCTTCAATAACTATTACAAATTTTGCAAAATGGTACATGACTTTTCGGCTCAAAGTGACCTAATCTATTACACTTGTGTTAAAATTTTTCAGACAATCTATAAAATATTACGTATATTTTGATTTTTTTTTAAATAATTTATTTTGAATGTCACTTTGTGCTTCGCTCTCTTCTATAGATAAAAAAAAATGGAGTATATTAAAATATGAATGTTTAGTTCTTATTTTTTGTTCAAGTTTGTTTGCTTTTTTTTCTTTTTTTTTTTTTTGTAAATATTGCTTCGTGAAAATCTCACTTCTCAATCGTAAATTTCACGTATAATAGGCAGGGTGCCTTGTGCCGTTCGGGCGCGACTTCGTTGCGCTTGAATTGGCGAGAGGCAGTACCGTACTTCTTGATATGTCATCTTTTAAAAATATATAATATTTTTGGCGTATAGGATTTATGCCGCAATATAAACATGCTCTGTCGGTATATTCTTAAGCATGATAAAAGTGTCTACAAACTAATGTTTCTATCTTCTCTACTTTTTAAGTAAGCAAATAAAAACTAAGTCAAGACTACTTTCACAGTTCTTAAAAGAAAGTACAAAATAAAATACAATTGCGTACGTAACACATTACGTTAATACAATTTGCGTATATAACACGCTCCTTAAACATGTACACAGCGCGTCACTGAATCCTGGAATAGGCGCGAGATCGGAGGGCAAGCAAAGCGGTTGCTCGCCAACAAGCGCCATACGAATTGTACGGCCCGCTTGCCCTCTGATCCCCGCGCCTATTCCGCGATTCAGTGACGCGCTGTGTACGGCTAAAAATATCGTAAAGCAATGCGCTAGTAAGTTCTTTTGATACCAAGATAATCGGCTTTGATTATCTTAAATTAAAAACTAAAACTATTATAACAAATTTTATAACAACTTTTCATAATTTATATTTACATTTCTTATTTTTTGTTGAAATAAGTTTTGTTTAAAAATCTGTCTTATTATTTCTTGATAACTATTAATTATTTGTAAAAATTAGTTTTATTAAATAAATGTCAAATAGTAAGTAAATGTT